GTCTTTGAACACAGCGATCTAGCGCCGATTTGTCAGCGCCGGATTTGTCTCCGATCGGGGGGTTTTGCCGGTCATCTCCCAAAACTGTCGGCTACGCAATGAGTACGGCGACAAGCTATAGCCAATTGGAGCGCAGGACGCGGAGGGTGAGGGGAACCCCGGGGGAGGAGTCACACGCAAAAGGCTGAGGGGAACCCCCGGGGAGGAGTCACGCGCAAAAAAGCATCAATAACGATGGCGGCATCGAAAACTAGGCGGTTTGTTTGGACCCAAGAATTGGAAGAAAGTTTGGTTGAACTTTGGCAGGAGCACCAATGCCTTTTTGATGTTTCCGACGACCTGTACCACAACCGAGCCGAGAAAGAGAAGAGGTGGACAGAAATAGCCAATTCTCTTCAACGGCCAGGTGAGCAAAATAGGCAGATTCAGATTGAGGAGGTAGGGTGAGCCCTCCGGTTTGCCAGCCCTCTCTCTGGACTGCTGTAGGTTGTCCTTTTTGTCCCTTTGTTCTCCTATTCCCTTCTTTTCCTTTTCCCAAACAAAAAGGCCGACATAAATATTTGTTGCAAGCCCAGCAGTTCTCGGCTTCCGTACATGTTCTTATGGATTTTTAACCTAATTATTACTGCTGTTTTTGAAATAGCCGGCGAATTCCCTCTTACGTTCGAGGCGCCTTTGCGCCGCCCATTCAGCGCGCGCTTTATTAGCGCGTTCCGCATGAAGACTGCAGTTTGGCGCCGCTTTAGCGTGTGCTCCCTGGTAGGGTGACTGCTTCCCCTGTCCGCTCCTTTTTATGGCGCTTAGGACACGGCGTCGTCATTTGCCAGCAGACGTAGCAGCATGAATAGTGGGTCTATATATTTTAAAAATTCTCCTCTTTGCTGTCCGCCCCTGGCTACTCCTGAATAGGTGGTCATGTACTCCACTTTGGTACCAGTGCCACCCACTTGTTGCTGGATCTCTTAAATGGCAAACTATGACCCTTTGTCCTCCCCACCTTTTTAGACATGCTGGTGATCACCTTGGTAGGATCTGGGAGCTAGTAGCCTGGAGTTTGCTACTGTGATGACGAAACCCAGACTACATGATGACTTTATAAATATGCAAAGGCTGTTTGAGACATACAAATAAAATTCTGGAATACATAACAAATGATAATGCGTTTGCTTGCTCCTTCTTTTTTTGTGTTTCAGTTGTGGAGGTTAAGACCAGGGCAGTGTCCCTGCGAACACAGTACTCAAGGTTGATAAAACCGAAACCGAGTGGCAATCAGAACAAACCTTTGACATGGAGGCAAAAGTGGCTTCTCAGGGTCATGGATTTCATAAAGCAATACATTGTTCACCGTCCATGTGAGAGCGCTGTAAGTCATACCATCCAGGAACATGTTTTAAAGTATACACAACTGACTGCAAACATACCTATTTTCATTGTTGTAGTTTTCATTTCTTGCCTTCTCTAGGGTTTTGATGTATTATTTCAATCATCCTTATATTCATTTGTGCTGTCCGCTGACGCCATTTCCGTTTCTCCTCTTCCAGCTTGATGTGTCATTCAGTGATCTGGACGACACGGAACATCAGGATAATCTTACCGATTTACTCGGACAATCTGCAGTCAAGAGTCCGCAGTCGAGACCTGGCACACCATCAGCCGGTCCTGCCTCCCCCCCTGAATGGTTGAATAAAGAAGCTTCCCCAGCAGCAGCTGATGAAGCTCCTTCACCTGTCCCATCAACTTCCAGCAGGGAGGTGCAAGAGGAGTCAAGTGCAAGGGGAGTCAAGCGCAAGAGGAGGTCAGAATCTGATATAGAGCAGCAGAAGCTTTTCGTTGTAAAGCAAATGGCAGCAAAATTTGATGCTGATCCAATTCCTGATGCATTGACTACATTTGGAAACTATGTAGCATGTGAATTAAGGCAACTGCAAGACCCAGCAAATCTGACCAAAATAAAAAGGGACATCATTAATATGATATATGATGCTCAGGATGCTGAAAGGAGTAGCTTGTCCTCCTCATCGGCACAATTTCATTACAGGATACAAAAAAGTGAAAAAGAGTGAAGAAATACCCTGGTTTCATTCTGTGAAATTGTTTACACTAGTTTTCATATTTCATTGCTTGTGAGAGACACTACCAAAATGTTTCTGATACAAATTGACAAAATTTGCTTCGTGATATCCTGGAGGGGAAAGGGGAATGGGTGCTCAGCAGAATCTCGCCTAGGGCACCTGAACGTCCAAGGCTAGCCATACACTGATCTAGAGACGTCATTAGGAAAGAAAAGTGGGCTATGTGAAAAGAAGCACTCCAGTGTACCCGGCAAATGGCAAACACAGCATCATTTAATTTCAAAAACATATGTATCCCAGATACGCTCTAAAGCAGAGGTCAGGCGGACCTGGGTCCGGACCCAGAAGCTGTCCTATACAGACCCAGACTGATAGCCAAAACAGAAAGTTATTATTTAAAACCTGATGGGGTGCTTCTATTTTAACCGGCGCAGCTTTTGGAGGATTTTTGTTACTGGTATAGCACTAGAACCACCATTTCCCATGCCAATGAACGTCAAACGCCTCTGACCACTAAGCAAGACGTAGTTCGGCGTATGCAGCCCTTTGTTTGTGCTAATGTGCCATTAGTGTTATCCCTTGTGTGGTATTCAGGTGGGAGACACCCATTTTCAATGTTTACTAAAGAAAGACAACTTTATTTCCCGACCTGAGATTAAGGGACAACTTTTTCCATGTATATATTGTACATGTATGAAACATACTTTTTTTTCCACCTGAGTTGATTTGTATAAAAAAAATACTTTATACACTTGCTAAACAGCAGAAACCTGAAATCCCCAGTAAACTGTATCTATTTATCCAACCTTTAATAAAACAAACTGCATTTGAACTTTTTGGGTGTACAATTTTGGGACAATATAAATGGTTTTAGAGTTTGACGAGAGAGTGAAGGAAAAGCGGCCAATGAGTGCTCAGCATATGTGGGAGCTCCTTCAGGACAGCTGGACAAGCATCCCAGGAGGCCACCTCATGTGAGGTGTAGAGGTGGTGTAGAGGAGACACTAGGGTCAGCCAGTCCCTGGGGCAATTGGGGTTAAAGGATCAAGGGCCCAATGGCGGGATCACTCTCCCGACCATGGGATTTGAACTGCAAACCTCCTGAGTCCCATCCCACAGCCCACAATTTAAAAAAATATTTTTAAAATGGAAAAGACCACCAACATGAGTATGTACTGTAATTTCTCATTATTTCCAGTGTGGACCCAACTCCTCAATACTGATTGTACTGTATGTGCTGTTCTTTCAGTTCAAATACACTAAAACCAAGGAGAAAGTGCCACTTCAATGTACAGCATAAATAAATTGATGTTCTTTGGTAGGCTCTGGTGGTAACAGTAAAATGCTACCTAGTTTTCAAAAGGTACCCTTGGGAATGTCATCAGAGGAAGTTATGGTGCAGACTTGTCAGGCTGTCTTCTCCTAGCATGCAACTAGTGCCAGTTCTCACCGTTCTAGGCCAGTGAAATTTCTGACCAAGTATGTGCTATTGTTAAATATCCAGGGATGCTGTAATGAACTGGTTTACCTGGCCTGTACACTGTAATTGAGAATAGAATTGCAAATGCATAATTCTGAGCATCTGACTTGATTGGCGTCTCATGCTTCCTGATTACAGTAATTTACATCTTATTTCCGATTAAGAAAAGTAAACGTAAACTTAACACCCATCATGCCCCCACCTGTTAATCAAGTGAGGAAATGTGGCTTTAATAAAATCCAGAAGAACATATCTACAAAGCATCAGCTGCCACTCTAAAGGTCGCTGCAGATCGTTAACTTTAAGGTCCCCAGAATCCTCAGAGTGAGAGTCACTTTTAAGCCAAAAGGGCTTCGATTTATCGATTTATCCTTCATGCAGATGCCAATGGCCAGTTCTAATAAAATCAGGATGACTCCTGAACGCAAGGTCTGTGTCCAGAGTGGGAAGCTGCCGAACTTCAAAAACTAAAAGCGACGACCAGAAAACTAACTAGTAATTTCCTCCAAATGAAATTTCAGAAGTCATACCAGATGTGATAAATTTGCGGGGCCTTTGTGGTGGATGTTGAGATGTTCCCCGGGACAGAGTTTAATTCTGCAGAGGAAGTGAAGGCGGCAATCGCCTATGGGGAACACTAGGGGGAAGGGTAAGGAGAATTTCCCCAAGGGGATCAATAAGAAAAGTATCAATAAACTGAATATTTACCCCTTCTAATGTTTTGTGCCTTGGTTGGGTTAGAAGTAGCAGCCACATTTTTATTAGCTGTTAACATCAGCGCTCTTTCAGAGCACCTCTAAAATGAATCAAATAGGACACACATTATCTCCTGCTGCACCACATATCACAGTTAGAGGCCATTGTTACAATCCGTGGATTTAGTAGAGTTCCTAGCAGGATAATGACTTTGTAGATCTTTAATGTGAAGCACGGAAGTGTCGGAATGTTGTTAGTATTGTTAATGTGCACGTATTACTTTCACTTACATTGTCCCTTATTAATACGCCTCCCTGAATTCAACTCAGCTCTGTGTTTCATTTACGCTTTCATTATATAGGAGATGCTAAAAGTAAAAGCGACATGCTTTATTTCAGAAATCAGGGTCAGACAGTCCCTGGGGTAATTGGGGGTTAAGGGTCTTGCTCAGGAGCCCAGCGATGACATAAGTCTGCCAGCCCTGGAATTTGAACTGGTGACCTTCTGAACACTGTGTCGTAACCCCATGAATAACATAATGGTGGCATTTTAGCAAGACATGGGAGCTCATCATCGGGTTTGAGGGGCCCTCTCCTTCTTCATTTCAGTCAGGATATCCTTCCACCTACCAGCGTGCTTTCAATATCTAACAAGGTGGAGGAATCTCTGTCTATGCAAATGTTTAATTTTGTGAAGTATTGCATAAGGTCACACTCATGTTTCTGGCTCATTATTCAGTTCAACTCAATTTTATTTGTATAGCGCATTTTTATGACATTACATCGTCTCAAAGCACTTTACATTATCCCCACCCAAAGCCCCCAGTGAGCAAGCCAGAGGCGACAGGGGCAACACTCCCTAGAAGGAAGAAACCTTGGAAGGAACCAGACTCAAAGGGGGAGCCCATCCTCCTGGGGGCGGCAGAGGAAGTCAAATGAGCAAAAATTCACACTTTCCCAATTTTAACATTTGAGTCTCAAAGTGGGGGGGGGGGCAGGAAGGTGATGGCAGGCAGGTATTGGTGCAGCTTCGGTTGGCAGGCAAACAAAATAAACGTTCAATATTTCAAATAGTAATTCCTTCAGAGGTTTCCATTGGGTTAAACCAGACAGGAACAATGGCGATTCTGCTGTATTAGGTGTTTTAAAAGCGCCGACGATCTTTCGACCTAGCTGGTGTCAGATGGCCTTGCATATGACAAGTACACTCATGAGGAAGACCATGATGAAGAAGATCCACATGAAAAAGCAGTCCATGACTTTGGCGACCTTTCTCCACTCGCCAGTTCTTTTCTGGTTGGCCCTTTGGTCTCTACAGAAGGTGGCAATGTATTCAATGTTTTTTGGAGCAGTTGCTGATGGCACAAACAATGAGTATTGCAAACCACCTGGTTCCCCTTTGATCCACCCTCACATCCTCCTCTGGCCACGCCCACTGGTTCACCCTGCTCCGCCCCTATAGGCCTCTTCATAGGATCACCATCTCTGATCTCTTCAGGGCTGCTCTTTCCCCCAGAAAACATCCCCTGTCCCTGAACATTAACCTAGCTAGTTCCTTTTGCAGCTGGTGATGGTGGTTCTGCCATGTCAGACTGGGCCGTCATGCAGTTCTCACCGATGTCATACACAAAGCAGATTCGGGCCAGGTATTCCAAGATGAACTTCCGGGTCCACGGTGGAACCGGCTTAGCCTCCAGGCCACAGTGATGGATGTTCATTATGAAGATGCTCAGGGCAGTTGATGCAGTGATCATAGTCATCGTTGTGATGTAATACTTTCCTGTGTGAGAGATGAAGTCTATCAGATGCAGGAAAATGTTTGGACAGAGTGACGGATCATAAATATCAGCAGCTTTTGTCAATTGAAAAGCAGAAAAGAGTTTCTAAATGCACTTAAATATAGATTCAAACCGATTTTAAGCATTTTCTTAGACAACCATAATCAACAAGAAAGATGCTTATCAGTTACAATGGCATAGGTAAAATTATAATAACACTATGTGATGCTATACATAAATAATTTTATGATGTGTGATTTATTTTCTTTGGCCAGCAATCCCATAGGTAAAAAAAAGCTGCAGCAACTTCCTTTATCAGAGGTCAACTCTGATCATGTCTGACCTTATCGATCTGGAGCAAAAAAGTGAGAAAGAGGTCAGTGTTTCCCAACCCAGTCCTCGGGGGAACCCTGGACAGTCCATGTTTTTGCTTCCTCTCAGCTCCCTGCGCACCTGTATCAGGTATTCGGTGTGCCTGATTGGCTGGGAGCTGGGAGGGAGCAAAAACGTGGACTGTCCGGAGTTCCCCCGAGGACTGGGTTGGGAAACATGGTTTGCATAATACATGACAATTTTTTAGGGAAAGGAGGTATTTAGACGATACAACTGAGAACTTCTGCTTAACAGTTTATGGACGGACTGTGTGGCCAGAAAACTCATCCCCATTACTAAAAGCTGTGCAGAGAGAGGTCACATGACTGGTCACATGACAAGGCTGAGGAGTAACCAGACTGTGACAGCTGGCAACTGTATCCGTGCTGGAACGAGCAGCAGCTGGGCCTCACCGATAAGTGGAATGCTCTCAGAGGGAGGCATGATCTCAGCTACCAGCAGCTGGAAGACGGTGAGGGACAGCAGCACGGTCACTCCCAGGGAGACCTTCTCACCGAAGTCAGCAGGCAGATAGAAGCCCAGAGGTACCAAGAAGGAGATCATCATGCAAGGAAGGAGCAGATTGTAAATGTAGAAGGAGGCAACGCCGCTTGAGGTGCATCGTGTAGGTGATGTCAGGGTAGGGATCTGAACAACAGCCATAAAGGATCAGGTTCTTCTTAGCGGGCATCCTGAACACCACCCACTTGACGTTCTCCACAAAGTCAGACAGGTCAGCGCTGTCCAACAATTTGTGCAGGTCCATCTGGTTGCCATTGTGGGTCCAGGAGCCATAGGTGAGTGGACACTTCTGGGAGTCAAAGGGGAAATAGATGTCCACCTTGCAAGAGCTCTTAGTGATAGCTGGCGAGCCCCAATGACCTGCCCATCATACCGGATGACCACATTGGTCTCCATGGAGCCAGTGAAACGGTCATCGGCACTGGAATGCAGAGAAAATTACAGAGCTGTTTGTTGTGTTGGAAGTGGCTGTATAGTTAAAGTGTGCCACCTGCTGTTCATAATATTTACAGCAGAGGATGACATCATTTATGAGATCGAATTATGAGGGGATGAATGAAAATGTACTGAAAAAATATAGTATTCAAATTTCATCTTCCAACTAATCCTGCTCAGGGGGGCTGGTGACTATTCCAGGCAGACCAGGATGCAGGAAACTCAGGGAGGCCAGTCAGCCGAAGTGCATATTTTTGGATGACAGGAGGAATGTCATAAACCATCGCCGATGATTACCCGAAACCAAGCATTAAACATGATGATTCGTAAGACACCCATTTCAAAATGGCGGCAACAAACGGAGCGCCCTGTTATTTCAAACAAACCATAACGTTTAAGTAATGAAACACTTTTCTGCTAATGTGAATAATAAAGTAAAGTGCCCTAAACATTTCGACAACAAAAATCAAGGAATAACGCGGGTAATCCTTGTTAAAATGAGCGTATGGCTCACAGAAACAACAATCATAACAATAACAGACAATCACCATGAAGACAGAAAGAAAGAAAGAAAAAACCTACACTAATTAAACATTCCAATGTGTAAGTATTTATCAGTGGTTAATGCAACACATTTAGTGAAACACATTTTACCAGTTGAGCAATACCTCCTTGAGCAATAAAACTGACATAGTGCAGTTATTTTTCTGTTTGAACACTCACACAGTATAGCAGCAATGCTAAGGGGCTAAACCTGTGTCTCAACCTAATCCTTAGTGACCCATAGCCAGTCCACATTTTTGCTCCCTCCCAGCTCCCTGCCAGACAGTCCACATTTTTGATCCCCAGCTGGGAGGGAGCAAAAACATGGACTGTCTGCTGCTTCCCGGGGACCTGATTAAGAAGCACTGGTCTAAACTAAATTGCCTATTGTGTGTGTGCATTTGTGTTCTCAGTGCTTCATCTTCAACATCAACCCTGTCCTGGATAAGCAGCCATGAAAGATGGATAGAAACATGTTTGTTTGTTATTATATTTAGTGTTATTTTCAATTACATACAACAAGAATGAACAAAAACTTTAAAAATGATTTGACAAAATGCATATTTGCGAATGCACATTGCGACAATCTGTTAATTGGGAAAAGATGGGGACGGCATGGAGCAGAATGAGAAACTACTGGCGTTCATGGACAGCAAATGGCACGGAAGGGGATATTTCAGCTTGACACAATCAGGGGCAGAGGACGGTGCAATAGACCTGAAATGCTGGCCCCATTACCAATACAACGTACTTGTTATATAGGACGATATCGGGCCTCCATACATAACTGCTAGGTATGCAAATAGCATCCAGCCCGTCATAGTCTTCCTTCTTCCAGGTGAGGAAGGCATCGATCCACACCTGCCGTATCCACAGGTACGTTGTGAGGATCTGATTCCGCTGGTCCTAGAACATGCAAAAAAACTGACATAATCATAGTGTCGAGATGTTCAACAAATGCATGGGACGGCTGGCTGTTCTGTCTAAAAGCCCGTGGTTTAGGTAAAAAAATATCAGTCTATGACACATTAATCCCACTGGTCATTTACTGCTAGGATCCAACAGCAAACATTTCAATCACTGATCCACAGCTTCAGCTGTGTGACTAGCTTTGCTATGCGGTGGCATATAACATTCTAAACTATAAGGACTACAAAAATGAGTGTAAATTTCTTAGGAACCTTCACTTAAACTATTATGTAGAATTTGGAGCACAGAAAAGGATAGAGGGGTGTTTGTTGTAGATTTGTTAGTTTGTTACTGTGAGAGAAAAATGGCTTGAGAGGTCCAGGGTGATGGAAATTCATGGGGGCGCTTTGGGTGTGAAAGGGATCCACTCAAAGAGGCATGGGGGGGAGGGGGGTGCGTTCTCACCATATCAATGATTTGGGACACGGTGATCTGCAGAGTAACATTGATGACGTCGTCTGTGTCCTGCACGGGCCGGAGAGCCCTGGAGTACTTGGCAAATAAATCGTTCAGCAGCTTGTGTGCATATTTCCCATGGGCTCCCAAACAAGCTGAAGGAAGTAGTAGGTGTGTGAGTCATGGAAAGGGAGATTTTTACAAAAGCAAACTGGGGCAGCTCTGAGACAGGATCCACATTTGCTCTAGGAGGATAAACGGAAGGCAGAGGAAGGAAATCAGGGTCCAACTGTGAAGAGAGGAAAGGGCGACAATTATTTTAGCACTCTTCTTTGTAAGTGACTTGATCTAACTGGCCTAAGGGTTAGGGATCTGCACTTGTGATTGAAAAGTTGCTGGTTTGAATCCCTGACCAGCAAGGCACCATCCCAAGCACTGCTTGTGGAGGACTGCATTAGTTGCCCATTGCTGTCACATATGGGTTAAATACAGAGGACACATTTTGTTGTCTGTCAACGATGACAATTCTTCACTTCACTAATACCATGGCATTTTAATTTAATTTTTTTTTCGGGGAGGGGGTTTTGTACAAACATTTTGGTCACATGTATCCTAAAATTAGATGTAACATATTCATTTGAATTGACATTAGTCCTAACGTGCAGTGTCCAATCTGTGTAACTGGATTGGATGATGACTGATTGGTTGATTGACTGATGAATTTGATTTGCTTATGCAAAGCAAGGCACTGAGCCAAAGTGCGTGCTCATTGGTCAACCATTCACTGTGACAAGGTCACTGTGGAGTGTCATTGGATACCGGAGCATCAGCTGTCTCTGTGCCCTTGGGGTCAGGTTTCACCCATTGTCCTTCAACCGCCTTTCAGGTGGCCGCTGTTCAAAGTAGCAAAGAATCAAACACACACATATTCTCTGCCACCCATACACTAGAAACTTCCATTCCTGTAAGCGAAACCTGAAAATAAACATCCTTCCCAAACATCTTCCCCCGTCCTTCATTTCTTCCAGCTCTACAGCCCTCATCACCTGTAAAGTTGAAGAATATGGTACATAAACAAACAAGGTTCAACACCTCTTAAGAAAAAATTTCAAGCCCACCCTGTGTGACATGCAGTCATGCCAAAATAAACAGACTCTCCCACGAGGGCCTCTGCACAGTCATGACCACTGGAACGTGGCCCCGGTACGTCAATGCGTACAGAATGGTGACCGAATAGCATAAGCCCACGTGTGGTGGGGGGACAGAGGATGGCGAGTCCAGAGTGGTTGTGATGACAACAGATTAAGGTTGCGGTTGATGGCCTAAGAAGTCATCCAGCGACAAATGTGGGAAATATTCAGCATTCGTCGTGGATGGAATGCAGAATCATTAAACAAAATTATGAATTGGTAGCAGGAGGTGAAAGTCAGCTTGAGTCCATCTTGCTCAGCCTAGTTGTACATCCAGGACAAATAAATCATAATAAAGTTAGGTCAAGTCAAATGACTCTTTAAACAAACAGGGAGGTCTGGAAATTCCCAGAAGACAGATTGAAACTAGGAAATCCGAAGGCTGGCCTGGACGCCTAAATAATGATCCATTTAAGCTGGGGCTGACTGGGAGGTTTCAACGTCTGAATGCCCTTTCAATGACTGTGCAAGACAGCAGAGGGCGATATTGCAAAGAAAGGAAAGAAAATGGGTAATTTAAATAAATAACAGACAGCATGATTCATAGCTTGAATAATCTATGAAATAATACAGTCACCAGTAAAAAGTTCAGACACACCTACTCACAGAAAGGTTTATTTGTATTTTTCTCTACATTTTAGAATAATAGCAACAAAACTACAAAATGACATATGATATTATGCACTGACCAAAAAAGTATAAAACAAAACAAAAAAACTGTAGGGCAGGTAGCTCTGCGGGTTGGGATGCAAAAAGTTTGCAGTTCAAATCTTGTGGGCAGCAGATCCCACCACTGGGCCTTTGAGCATGACCCTTATCCCTTAATTAGCGACTGGGCAGACACCTGGCAGCTTAAATTTAACAGAGATAAATGTAAGGTAATCCATGCAGGGAGCAGAAATATAAAGTACAGATATTTTATAGGTTTCACTTAAATAAAGGTAGCTGACCTCGGAGTGTATGTTGATGCTTCCATGTCCCACTCTCAGCAGTGTGGGGGAGCAATTAAGTCAAGGGAAGTGATGCTACGATTATATAATTCCTTGGTAAGACCCCACCTTGAATATTGTGTGCAGGTTTGGTCACCATACCTTAAGAAGGACACTGCTGCCCTTGAAAAGGTGCAACGTAGAGCTACGAGAATGATTACTGGTCTTAGAGGAATGTCTTATGAGGAGAGGTTAGCTGAGCTGAATCTGTTCAGCCTCGAGCAAAGGAGACTAAGGGAGGACATGATCCAGGTCTATAAGATTCTAACAGGTCTGGATGCTGTTCAGCCAAATGGCTATTTTAATATTAGTTTAAATACTAGAACTCATGGCCATAAGTGGAAATTATTGGGAGAACATTTTAAAATTAATTTGAGAAAGCACTTCTTTACACAGCGTGTAGTTAGAGTATGGAATAGTCTTCCTGCTAGTGTAGCGGAAGCTAAAACCCTGGGTTCTTTTAAATCAGAGCTAGATATGATTTTAACAACTCTGAGCTATTAAGTTCTCCCCAAACAAGCTTGATGGGCCGAAAGGCCTCCTCTCGTCTGTAAACGTCTTACGTTCTTAACCCCAATTGCCCCAGGGACTGGCTGACCCCAATGTCTCCTCTACACCAGTCACATGAGGTGGCCTCCTGGGATGCTTGTCCAGCTGTCCTGATGGAGGTCCCACATATGCTGAGCACTCATTGGCCATTTTTCCTTCAATCTCTGATCGAACTCCTCCAAAACCATTTCTACTCTATTTAGGTCAGGTGGCCAGGTCATGTAATGCAACACTATCACTGTTTTGTAGAAGGCTTAGTGTGTCCAAACTGGTACTGCATGTATCACTGGCAAGTAGTACAGTGGTTACAGCCTGGCAAGTTTTAAGATTTGCTGTTGTACAGTACCTCCAGAAATGGTAGCCATTCAATTACTAACTGGTATAACTGGGTAACATTGCAGAAAGGCATTTTGGATAAAACAGAGAGATAGGCAACAAAATATACAAGTATAAAAACGGCTCACAAACAAACTGGAGGAAATATGTGATTCTTCTGCTTGGAAGAATTTCCTGTCCTGTTGGCCTACGGGTGTGCAGTGCGGAAATGTCAGGGCGCGCGCTAACCCGCACTGCAGCAGTATCGGGACTATTCCATTTCACAGGTAAAAGGATATTCTTGCACTCAGGATCACCGTTATATTAAAGACTTATTTTTAATAAAGAGGGACGTACGTTTATACGGCACCGGTGAACGACTTTGCAACCATCTGCCTACTCGTGCGTAACTCCTTTTAGCAGAAACTTAAGCATTTTTAAAGTGCCTTTGCTTTTTACCCCTTAAACAGAAATTGCGACCCAATTAAATACAAGCGCCACTCTTCCCGCAGTCACAGTTAACTGGTAACCGGAAAATTTTATTCTGGGAAATCGTTAGATAAATCCTTATTCCAAGGTGTTGCGAACTGGAATATACGTATGCGCACCATGAGGCAGCTCAAAGTCCACATCTGCGTATACCGGCGGGCGAGAACTAATGCAGGTGTTATGCCGAAAAAGGCATCCCTGCCGTAGAATGCATGAAGGTTTTCTGACGAGTTGAGCTTTAAGGGGTTTTAGGGGTGTTTCGGGGGTTGGGGTTTTACGGGTTTTTTTGGGAATTAGGGTTAGGGTTATCGATTAGCACTACGGTAGCCTAACTCCACAAAGTAGCTCAACTCGTTTCAGATCAGCGACCAATCGGTCATTTAGAGACAGGCATGCATTCTACGGCAGGGATGCCTTTTTCAGCATAACACCTGCTTTATCTGAACCCACTTATGATGGACATTATAGGGTGGGATACGTAACTGCATTTGCTTTCAAGGTATAACTTGCAAAAGCCCCATTCGTGCGGAATCTTTGGTTTACGGTTGTAGTGTAACAACAGCACACACAGACATAAAATCTATGCATTACAAAAGAAAAAAAGATTTGTATTGAACTGCTCTTCTCTAACAGATGCGTTACCGTAAAAATGAACAAATTGCATGTTGTTGTAATGAATATATAGATCGTGCATTGGAATGTTTATAATACTTCGGAACTAAGTTCCAAAAGTGACGGTCTGTTTCTGAATCAGGTTTTACTGCAGGTTTGCTAGTAAATCTGTCTATAGATTAGAGAATAAGGGAGGCCCACTGTACCTGGCAAAACCGTAACCCAGAAAAGAAACCCGAAGATCCAGCCGTTCATCTTAATGGCAAAAAACTTCTGCGTTTAGTTAGTGAGCAAAGTCAGCGTAGACAGACATGAAAAGAGCTTGGAGGCAAGCAATAGCTAAGCGCCGAGTCTAACGGCATAACCGGCATTTTCCCGATATTGATTCATCAGGTGCAGCCCCTGGGTGCTTCAGCGTTTTGGCACTAATTTAACGCTATACTTTTTTTTACCGGTACCGGATCTGACGCGAAAAGGGACAGTGGTGTTTAGTCTCGGTATCCGAGCCGGTGGTTTGTTGATATATGCTGCCTTGTCGAAAAATGCTACCGTAGTGCTAATCGATAGCCCTAACCCTAACCCCCCAAAACCCCTAAAACCCTTACCTTAACCCTAACCCCTAAAACCTAACCCTAATCCCAAGACGGTGGAACTGCACATGCGCAGAAAGGCTCGATAGCACGTCTCGATAGGTAGTATTTTATGACAGAACACCTGCAACAGGCACCTTAAAAACGTAAACAGTTCCTTACATGCAATAAAGTTAACAAGGTTTTTAAATAATGGAAAAGCTCTTATTGTCAATTTAACAAGAAGGCAATGGGAAATCCCAGCGGACCGGCACCGAAAAAAACTGGGAGTTTGGTTTAAGCGCCGCTGTCAATTTTGCATTTATTTCAAATATATGGAAGAGATCAGCTTTTATAGCGAGATGACCGTTCGTCTGTATGAAATGGTTAATCTGGTCAAATGGGGGAAAAAAATTCAAAGTAAACGATTTAGAGTAGACCTTTTAAAATCGTTAGTGTGAAAGACTAGACAAATTAAGGACTGGACATGCATGACAGACTGTCCACAGGTCTTTCATTTTATAACTGAAAACACACCAATGCTTGATCAGTGCAAACTGACAGGCTGGGAGACGATAGATTCATCCATTTTATTAAATCATTTCATAAAAACGCCATTAAACACAACCATGCAGACAGTCAGAGCAGATTCTCTTACCAGAAGGCACAGTCGCTAGAGGACAGCTGTCCCTCAGCCATAGCATGAGCCGTAAAACACAGCATTTACATTAGGAAGCACCTACACACACACACACACACACACACACACACACACACACGTCAACAGGTCCAGCTGTGAAGCAGGGGCCACCGCAGGCTGACAAGGATTCACACGCCAGGGAAACAGCAGCCACAAAATGGATGAAGGTGTCCTTCTGTTTCGATTCTGGGGGAAAGCAGCTGGTGAAGACCACCACAGATTATATAGCGGGGGGGGGGGGGGGGGGGCAGGCATTGCCAAGCACATACAGGAGGCAAGTAGAAAATGCTAGACTTTAAAGCTGTGACTCTTGTAAAAGCATTTTTGTAACAATCAATTGTAAATTTTACTCAAATACAAAAGGTCCAAAGATGACTAAAGTCATTTCAAAGTCCCCCCCCCCATATCTCCTACCCTAACTGAAAGCAGTTTCAGCTGAAAGTTTCAGACTGAAAGCCATCTATACAACCCCTAAGCAGAGAATATATAGCTAGAAAAATAAACTCTACTGCTTGTACATTTTTATAGATCCTGGACTTTTTGTATGTCACACTCATTGTAGCATTTCCTATCACACACCAGAAACACACATTCAGGATATCAATTCATCACACTTAGCAATGGCAAAATGCAGGATGCTGCACCATTTAAATAAGGAGACTAGAGAAAATCTGTCAAACAGAATATTACATCAAAAGGCTGTGGCGCAGAGGTATGTAGCCAGAGTGAGCGGTATGAGATAGCAACACAGCGCTACGTCGCCGTCAGACACTCCAGCGAACACTGACGCATGGGCAGGTGGAATTGGAGGCTGTCCCTTTAAACAGGGCAAACACAAACAGGTAGAGGTCTTGCACAGATTGTGAAAAATGTAGTTTAATTATTAAACACATCTATCCCCTTCTCTAAAAGTACAAAAAGATACATAACAAAAGAAATTAATATAGTGAAGCTTCAAGTCAAGTCATTTCTAAACAGGCAGGCTCCACTCCTACTTCCTGTTAGCTCAAAGATTGGTCCAATCAGACCAAAGCCAATAGGATCCATGGCCCCTGACAGTCACTCGGTGAGTTTAGTGTAGCCGACAGGCACCAGAGGCAAACAGAGTCCGGCGCTCTATGGATACCATCGCTTTATTGGCCAACAATGAGCTCACGGAGGTATGACTGGGTAAGGCCTCTCAGCTCCTCCAGGGCGTAATCCTCGGGCATGGGCAGCAGACCGATGTGCGGTGCGAGGTGGTGCAAGGGGATGTGAGGGGGATCCGACCCAGTCTCCCCTCCTTGCTGGAGGCTCAGGACCACCCGCAGGATATTAGCGACGCGCTTTGCCATTTCTGTGGCGACACAGGACACAGGAAGTCAGTCGGGCAGACGGGTGCGGCTCCACTTCAGAGGAGGTGCAGAAGCCCGCCACCCCAAACCCACCTGACTGAGCCAGCCGGTCCTTGGCCGTGGCACAGGGGATGAGCTCGATGCGGCCGCAGAGGGACGTCACCTCCGTGTGCAGCTGCTCCATCTCATATGTGGGGCCTTCCATCTACAAACAGAACAAAAACACAGGGCATTGTGGGAAATGAAGGGTCACTTTGTAGGGCAGCACAGTGGCCAGACCATCAGCAACTATGCTGGCACTGAAACTGTCCAACTGTCCACCCATATTTGTTATGTAGGTGAATTATAGCATATTTTGTCACAAGACAAGACGGAACCAAAGAGACCCAATTTCGGTCATAGCTTAGTTTTGATGAAAGGCACAGTTACGTTGTTTTGCCTTTGTGGGGCAGTATCGGTGACATTACCAAGGCACTGTAAGTCCAAATCCCTTTATACATACTTAAAAGGAAACGAGTTTAAGACAATGTTAGTCTCACTGCAGCCCCCATACCTGGATAGCTTGCAGTGTCTGGATGACGTTGATGTAGTCCAAGAAGACCCTGCCGGCCGTGTCCCAGTCGTGGATCTGCGCACTGCGCTCCGCCAGCTCCAGGCCCTTCAGGAACTCCAACAGGTAGTCGTGGTTCTCGTTGATGATGCAATCTGAAACGGATGTAGAACACAGTTTGATTGACTGAGCAGTCAAAGTTGTCACTTCCTGTAGGGGAAGCAGTTCCCTGTAGTGGCACAGTTTGTACCTGAGGCTAGGTGTTGGATGACAAGCCGGTGACACTGGCTCCAGTGACCAGCCCGGTACAAATGCATGGCCTCCCGATGCTTGTCCCCCTCGTGACGGGCACGCGTCGCTTTCGCTTCATGCAGCCACTCCACCGGCACCAGCAGCTTCTCTGTCAGAAAGCGCTCCCTCTCTGCAGAGTCGTCCGTCTCCACTAGAGGGCAGTGCAGGTTCAGCATCTCCTTTACCGCTCGCTCTCGGAGGCTACAAAACAAAATGTTTTTGGTCCAGTGTCACCAGAGCTGTTCATTTTGGGCTTCCCCCCATAATCCAGCAGACAAAACAAGAAAAAAAAAAAAAAAAAAAACCACGCACATAGAGTCAGGGATGTGTAGCAGCACAAAGATCGCCATTTCCCACAATCCCGCGCTCTCCAGCTGGGCGGCATAGCTAGTGTGCAGCACACCCTGCCTCTGCGGGGACAGGTGGGTGTAGTTGAGTGCTTGAAGGACGTTCCACAGGTGCCAGCTGAGGCGGTAGTCCAGCCGGTCTGCGGTGACGGTACAGGGGTCCAGCAGCTGCTGTAGGCTGTAGTGCCTGTTGGACATATCAGGATATCGTGGGGATATCAGCCGTCTGTGTCCAGCTCATGGACGCAGACGGCACCGTGACCCAGGGATCACCCCACCAAACCCCTGCCCATCATCCCCAGGAGGCAGGCTTGCCTGTCACTGTAGAGCTTCAGCAGGTGGAAGCAGATGTCATAGAGCTGTCTCCTGGGCTCGCCAACCTCCTGCAGCTCCTGCTCCTCTAGCACCTCACACTCACAGTTGTCAAGGTAGGGCGGCAACGGAGGGCAGGCGTACTTCTGGCAATCATCGGAGCCCTGCGGGACAGGCCAATAGAGGGCACCGATTAGCCACAGCAGCTCTGTCCAGTCACCTCAGCAAAAAGTTTCATCAATCTCTAAAACCAGGAACTCGGAACCTTTTGGTCATTGTGTCATTTGCTGAACAAATCCTGCACTCTTCCTGCTCCTAGCCAGTTCACATATTGCACTGCTGCTCTACTTGATCATTGAATAAAGTATTGCTCGTTTTGTGCACTAAGACAAAGCGGTCACGTCCCCCACCTGGAAGGCAGCCTCGTACATGCAGAGGGCGTCAGCCACCGAGGCAATCGGAGGCAGCATGTACCACAGGTGCACAGCGACACAGCGCTTCCAGTCCAGCTCGGAACAGACATTGATGGTGCTGTCTGTGGACTCCCACACCTACAGGGGGGGTTCAGAAAGAATGCCGCAAGTCAATTGACATTAAATCTGAACAATCAGCCAATAAACATTGACTAGTTGGCTGTTCTAGTGTGGAAACATCTGCCAGGATGAGCTAAGAATCACTGCAAACAGGGAGGCCGAGGCAGGAAGAGGGACTCGAAGTCGACATGCTGGTGTCTGGCCGGACTGGAAACAGCCCGATCCCACACCGACACAAACGGAGACGCAGAGGCGGCCTCCTTACTGGTTTCCCCGCGAGCAGAGAGAAGACGCGCAGCCTGTCCTCCTGCAGGAAGGAATCCGTCTGCATGCGCTGCCAATCGACCAGCTGCATGGCCAGCAGGTCACGGGTGCACTGCAAGCCGGCCGCCTGCGACAGCAGTAGTGAGAGCCGGTGGTCCCCTGTGAAGCAGGGCAGGTGATGGGGGGGGGGGGGGGGGGTTACTGACAGGGTTCCAGTGCACCTTTTAAAAATTTTCAAAAACTGTATGGGGGGTGGTGGAGGTACTGGAGACGGAAGGGCAGGGGGTGTGTGCTGACTGATTTGGGAGCTGGCACCGTTTTACCAGGCTGGTGCCCCCTCAGAAGATGCTGCCCTGGGCAATTGCCCATGTTGCCCTCACCATGGTGCACCACTGGCTGTGACTAAACAGCAGTGATTCTTCCTGCCATGTGGCCAACAAACTCACCCATGGTCAAAATGACGAATGGCCCTACATATACTTCGCATTTTCCATTCTGTTCACATCTGGGATCCTACTAATTACAGTATTTGGGATTGGCACCAAACCGGCAGAGATCTGGCTTTTCCTCTTTGTGAGCGTTGTAAATCGTAAGGCAGCCTACACCATATTTCGTGTAAGAACTGGTTTGAGAAACATCGTTTGAGAATACACAATAGGCCAAATTGGTCGCAATAATATAGAAGCACCACAATATTACCACCACACCACATACAAACTCTGATGGCACAGTTTAATTGCACATGTTGAGCCCCTGAAACCAAGGTGACTAACAAGAATATTGATTAGCATCAATAAAAACAATCCTCTATAAAAAGACTGTAGAGTCTGACTGCTGTCTGTGCGTTAGCGCGCTGTCATCCTGCTCACACATACCTGACTTCTGAGCCAGGCGACACGCCTCGCTGACGCAGTGTCCTGTCAGGTAGCTGAAAACTGCCTCCACGTGGCTCCGCCCCTGGGAACGCATCACCTCCTCCTCCACCCTGCCGGAAGCACTCTGGGACAGCCAGGCGGAGAAGCTGCGCCGCCGGTCCAGCTGCTGGCCGTACCCTCCGCACAGGTCGCCGTCGGCGTCCAGAGTCGCCCCATTCAGGCGACCCCACAGGGCGGTGCACAGGGTCCACACCAACATCCAATGCTTCACGACGTCTGAGAGCCGGGGGCAGGCAGAGTGTGGAGGGATCAGGTTCTGAAACGCCGCATCCGTCTGACGAGGTCGTCCACAAAGCGAGCCTTACCGTCCACAGCCTCCGACTCGGTGGTGACCTGCAGCATCCACTCTGCGTACTCGTGCAAGGCCTCCACACCGTCCCTCGGTAGGATGAAAGGGCACGGCTCCTCTGTGCTGATGGTGCAGTGTCTCAGCTCAATCTCCAGGGGGCGCCGGAAGAGTGCCAGGGTCTCCTCGGACCCGCTGGCCTCTGCACCAAGCACCTGCTCCAGGTGTACTTTGAAAGGGCTCTCCGAGATCCTGCACCACAGGGTGATGCCTTTTCAGACTAATTGACTTTGATAAAAAACCCTATCAACTATTCTTTTAGACAAAGGTAAAACACACGAAGACGAAGGATAAAATCTCCCTTAAATGGAGACTCACGTTTTGCTCTTGACCGGTTTGGGCAGGAAACTGAAGCCGGCAGATTCCCCCTGAGAGTCCAGTGTTGGCGCCCTGGGCCCCCCCAGCCGGTCACCACAGTGTGCCAGTGTCCAGCCGGGCCCCCAGCCGACACGGAAGGAGCGGCCGGCGAACAGGGCCGCGTCCATCAGCAGCTTGCCCTTACCCAGGGTCACCGAGCCGGACAGCGGAACCAGGCTGCGCTGGCGCCGGGTCCCCACTGTGCGGAGGGGTGTATCTGGTGCAGGGCCAGGGGCTGGAGGGGGCAGCAGGAAGGCAGGCCCCAGTGAGGGCCAAGGGGAGAGGCGGGACGGCTCAGAGGGCCGGGGAGGCTTCTGAGGAACACCTCCGAATGGGGCGTCGGGAGGCTGAGAGAACATGCCGGAGCCAGTGGAGAAGCGAGAGTGTAGCAAGCCGCCAGCTACAGGGAAACAAAATACAGGTGAGGAGAGCGTGGCTGGGCGGCTCTGCTCCCTTACAGCAAACACAGCCAGGCAAGCAAGATCAGACGGCAGCAGCAACCAAGGATGGAGACCGAGTCCCACACTGAAGGAGAATTACAGCCAGACGCCAACCCTATACTTTCAGCATCACCGCATGAAAGGGGAACGTTAAACGACAAGACCCCACCCGCACCTGAAGCCCGTCCCTGAATGCCAGAGAGCAGAATGCGGGGGGAGCGCAGGTCTGGGACCTCCTCCATCTTTGCGGCTTGCCGACTGAAGGCCAGATCCTGTAAAGGGTCTCCCTCATCGTCCTCCGTGAAGAATGACGCCTTCATGATCTACATGGGGAGGGGGGCAATCAGATTACATCACCCTGAGCCTCCATCTCATGTCATCATACTGTTTAGACCGGCTTAAGCCTCAAGCTGGTCAGACTAACTCCATTTGGAACCTATGCGCATTCAAAAAACAAAGTCGCCCCATACTATGAAACGTAAGGGGTTTAAATGCAGATCTCTCTCAATGCTGGGTTTACATTTCTTGTTCGGGAAGGGAAGCCCCACCTGTAGGGTATGGGGGTTGATACCCAGAGAGGACGCAATGTGGCTGGAGGCGGAGAGCATCATGGCATCCTGCCTGGCAGACTCCCCTGCCCACCTCCGCTCCCCCTCCAGACCACTTGCTCGGTTGGTCATCTCATCCCCTTCCTCCTCATCTCCCTCATCCTCGTGCTCCTGGGTGATGTCGGCCATGTCGCTGTCCACCTCCGACACGCGGTTTGGCAGATCCAATGTGGACACACTCTGCGCACACACAGAATGCGATTAGCGTGCGGACGCCCCACACCCAGGACTAAACAAACCCCCACCACATCAAAAGATTAGGTTTGCTGTGCGTGGCAACAGAAAGAACAAGTGGGGCCAACTCAGACATCTGGCCACAGAAGTGATGACTGACTGAATTAGAGAGCACTAGATGAGAGATCTATGTAGTCAGCACAAAGTGAAAATTATCCAAAAGGAATGAAACCCAAACAAGGTCGAATTACACAAATGTGACAGACAAAAGTAAAGTGTAATCTTTATTTAAAACAATTGGCAAATGAATACATGGATCAAATAAATACATTCCACATTAAATCTACATCATGCATTTAAAAAAAGCACTAAAACCAAGGGGGGGAACCTATCAGGATGCAGAAAACATAGTAGATTCATTGTTTCCAGCAAGTTCAACTATACTTAACAGCTGAGAATGAAAAACACCTGCTACAATTTAAAAGTGTAACATAATAAAAAGGACAGCAGGCCAAAACCTGACTATGTCAGGGAAACTGGGCCATGGTTACGGGCCCAAATGGAAACAAAGCACATTAAAGGGGCAGCAGCTTCATCACAGATTGGTAAGATTGGTAAAGCAGCAAGAGTGACAGGCACCTGCAGTGTTTACAACACCTAGAAGAGTGTTCCTCAACCCGGTCCTCAGGGGAACTCAGGCAGGTCCCCCCGCCCCCCCCAAGGACCGGGCTGTGAAACACTGACCTAGAATGTCCTGTCTGTAAAACGTAAAACCAGCAGCATCTCTTATCTGCAGGGATTAATCCAGGAATGCAGCTTGAACCAAAAACCACACATTTACTAAGCCCAGACTGACAATGCAATCAGTGTACTAAACATAGGCAAGTGTTCATTTATTTGGAATAACAGGACATTAATGGTCAAGCTAACAAGTTTTTACTTAAACATTTAAGGCATTACCTTTAACATTTAATGGATTTCTTGCCAGAAACATCACTCATGATTGATAAGCATGTGGTACACATTAAGCCCTTAATTTCCCACTAAACATTACACTGCTGATTTTGTGCCCAAAGCTAGTGACAAATCAATACTGGAGAACATGACATTGGTGGCTTATTCCAGAAGGTTCCTCACATTGCTCCCATTGCATGACAATCCATATTACTCCAACTGTGTCATAAGACTACCAGAGCCACCAACAGGTACAGATGAACCTGGGTGAGGACATGAACTCCCACCCCCGGCTTCAGTAAGGCACCCCATCTACCTGCGCCTGGGGGCCTGGCTTGCCATTCAGCGCCATCTGCTGTTGGGTCGGGGGATGTTGCAAGCCGGGAGGCAATGTGGCCAATGTGGTCTTCTGCTTCTTGGCATCTGCCTTGGCCGGGGGAACCTCTTCCTCCTCGTCGGAGTCCTGGAGTCCATACTTAGAAAAGTGGGCAACCTGCACGAGTGAAGAAGATAAGAAGTTAAGTCACCGGACCAGTCGGGCCAAGCTCAAGCGTGATCTTTACGTAGCTGGTCCCAGGGCTCAAGCCCAGATAACGTACTTCAAACACCCAGGAACCGGTCTCGGGCCGGTACTCCAGGAAGCGTGCACCCTGCTTCCGTGAGACGTTTTCCAGCCGCCCCTCATAGTTCATGTCCAACAGCCTCTCGGGACTCTTGATCTGGGTGCAGGTGGTTTTGTCATTGGGCCAAACGCCATCCAGAGTCACCTCAGCTCGCCTGAGGGGAGAGGGAGACCGTTTTTCAAAACGATAACGACCTTATGCAAACACTGGCTGTTACGTATGGAAAGTGGCCAAACGGCACACTGCTTTACCTATTAAGACCTTCCCCTATGGGAGACTTGGCCTTGTCATCAGGGTACACTATGACCTCCTTCCTGCGGAAGTGCACGATTTCATCCAGGTTGAGGCCGGTCAGGTTTACCTCACCAGGGAAGAAGACCGAGCCATAGCCTGTAAGAGAGTCGTCACTTCATAGTACCCTTTCCACAAAATACACTCCATATCACAACCAAGGTTGGCTTATCACCAAAGCTTTCTTGGACCAATCCATACCTTTCCTGCCCACTGTGAAGTTCTCCACCAAGCACTGACCATCCTCATTGACCATTCTGCCCAGTTCCTCCATGCTGGGAATAGTGTAGTATCCCACACGTCGTAGAACAATACCTGTTGGAACAAGCTGGGTCAGAACACCAGGCAGATGGTGCAGGATTCTGGGGGCATGGCAGACGGCTTCCCCAACAATCACAGTCTGCCTAAACAGTCAGTAGGCAGGACAGTGCTGCGTTTCAACTTATTCTTACACTTGGGTTCTGGTCCTGCACCCGAATAGTACCAGTAAACCTCAGCTATCTAAGGAGCACCAGTACATTAACATGCACATTAACAACCGAAGCAAGTACTCACCAGCGGGGTGGGGAGCCCCCGCCTCGTCACGCTCCTCCAGCACGGAGTCATCGCCCAGAGAGATATCCTCGCTGCTGGCACCCAGGCCGTTGCTGCGCGTGGAGCGCACGTTCAGCTCCGCGATGGTGTCCTGAAGCGATGGGTTTGGCTTGCCCTCCAGAGTGTGCGGCACTGGCTTGGCGATTGGGTTTGTGTAGAACTTGGTCACCTCCTCTAGGTCCTCCTCCGGTCTTTCTTCCTCATAAACACGGGCCTCCTCCTCAATACTGCGGCTATGTTGAGACGACACCAAAGAACAGGTAGGTTACAATATGTGGACAACCATGGCCATTCTGAGATGGAGAACAGGTCATTTATATGAAGAGCTTAATTTCCATGGTTAATGTGTAGTATGGTGGGTGAACAGCAGGGGGCAAAGATGGGACTCACCCAAGTCCATTTTCAGGGTAGTCTGCAGGGGAGGCCAGGTCCTCAGCCTCTCTGTTACTGGGGGAATAGAGGCTGCTCCCATTCAGGTTCTTCAACACCAGCTTTTTGATACTCTTCCTGCAGAGAGATGTGAAGAAATAAGTAGATCTCTTTCCTTCAGTCACGAGCAGTTCAAGGAGCTAGCCTCACCAGAGATGGAAAGGTAAACGGCCAAATACCCATGGGAGTACCACAGTACACCATGCCTGCTCAGATTCTTCCAATTATTCCACCTACCTAGGCATGAAGGAGCCATTGTTGAGGGAAGGCTCATCGTCGTCCAAGCCGTCAAAGAGCTGGGATTTGGAGGAGCCGGAGGAGCCGAGGGCCTTGGGCCGGACGCGTGTGGCGGGGCGTGGGGTCAGTTTGTAGTGGGTGGGTGTGGTCAGGGCCTTCTGTGCTGCTGGATTGGTTGGCTTGAGGCGCTGTCACAAGAGGAACAGAAAGGCAAGGATACAAGGATAATCATGGGACTGAACTAACAAATTAGCATGAGGATCATGCAGTAACATTCCGGTGGATCTTAAGTCATGGTAGGTAATTATTCAAACCAACTCATACATTCATAAAGCTCTACAGTTCAGTTTATTTTATTTACATAGAGTATTTTTACAACATCTAATTGTCTCAAGGCGCTTTACATTATCCCTGCACAAAGCCCCCAGTGGCAAGGAGAAACTCCCTTGAAGGAAGAAACCTTGGGAGGAACTGGACCCACACGGGGTAGCCCGACCTCCAGGGGAAGATTAAGTATTTTACTTACACTACATATAGGTCCACATGGGTCTTTAAGAGTTAAACTTAATTACAAAGGCTAGCAGATCCTTTCAAAAAGGGAAGTCAATGCAATTTAAAATTTATACAACCAGACCCATTCAAGCAGCAGTCCACTGTCCAGCCCTACGCGGCTCCCATCTGTCACTCACCTCTTCCTTTTTCTTCGGGTCAGACAGGGGGTTTCTGAAGAGTGGCGAGTCACCGAAAGGGGAGTAGGCCAGGGCGTTGATCTGCTGCTGGAGCACAGCCTGCTGGGCCGCCGCAGCACTGGGATCCGTCAGAGCTGGAAGAAACAGACCAGTTAGGCAAGGGCAGGTGGAAGGCCTTCGGTCCTGGGGAAGCAGCCTCGATGCCAGTGGCGTTTGGTCTGGGGATGCGGCTTATTTACCAACAGGCTGCTGCGGGGTGCCAAAGCCCAGGCCGCTGGTGCTGCTGTTGAAGCTGGTGGTCCCGAAAGCACCCACACCACCTAGAGTGGAGCCCAGCTTGTTCTGTGTAGCCCCAAACAGGGAGGTCTGGCCCGTGCCAACTGGAAGAGTAAAATATAGACCACAGCAACAAATTTAATGTCCAATTATTGACTACTGAAATTCAAGAAAAAGTAGATATTAATTATTTTTCCCCAATACTGTACAAGGGCTTCCTACTCTGAGGTTACATACCCGTTCCAAACCCAGCCCCCAGCCCAGCTCCTAGCCCCGTGGTTCCAGTTTTGTTGCCGAAAAGCCCTCCCCCAGGATTATTTGCGCCAAAACCTAAAGGAAAAAGCACAGAAAATGATGCCGAAGGCAAATACAACAGGTACATGCTAGAAACAGTGAACAGTTGCCTGTTAATTCTACATGAAGAAAATCAGGAGCATGAGACTCACCAAAAGTGGATGCGTTGTTGTTGGTGAGGGTGAGTGTTGGTTTGTTCCCAAACAAGCTAGAGCCAGAACCAAAGGTCGGTGCACTAGTTGTGGTTGTACCGAATCCTGGGGTTTTGCTGCCAAACAAATTCTATAGGGGTACACAAATTAAGAAGTTAGACAAACATGCAAACAACAGTTGAATTTAGAATAAATAATAGAAGGCGAATGCATACAACCACATGTTGACGTACCTGGGTACCAACACTCCCAAAAGCATTGGGGGGTTGTGCAAAGAGTCCTGCACCAGTCCCAAAGCCTTGGGCTGTGCTGGTGTTTGCCGTGTTATTAAACAGCCCCCCTGCTTGGGACGCTGCCGTGTTGCCAAACAAACCCTGTGGGAAGACAGGATCTAAGACCAAACCAAACCCAATAATGCAAACCTGCCACATAAGCTAAATGAGATGAAGAGACTCACGATGCCGCTGGTGTTCGGCTGCCCCATGGTCATGTTGCCGAAGGAGAAGCCCGTGTTCTGGGTGGTGGCAGGCTGGCCGAAAGGCTTGCTGAACAGACTAGTGGTCTGCTGGGGCTGCTGCTGCGGTTGGCTAAAGAGGCTCCCTGTGGCCGTACCGAAACCACCGGTGCCTGGGCAAATCGTAACGGGGGATTAACATGACTACTAAACCAATAACAGCTACAAGGCTACACAAGCTAGTAATGCTACTCACTGGTTCCAAAGGTGGATTTATTGGGCCCGAAGCTGAAGCCAGTGTTGGTGCTAGAACCAAAGAGGCCAGCAGCGGTACTGGGAGTAGCCGTGGCACCCGTGCCGAAGAGCATGCCTGTGCCAGCTGCCATAGGGTTAGAGGGGCCCTTACGGCCAGCCTGGTAGTCTTCCAGCCTTAGTTCCTGCGTGGCATGGAAAGTTAGTCACAAGTAAAAAAAAAAAAAAAACAGTTAAATTAGGAACCCAAAGCTACGCCATGACACCCACCTCTAAGGATTTGTTCTCATATTCCTTCATGGCCGTGATGCACTGATGCTTGGTGTTGATGCTGGTTGTCACCCCACCTTTCACCATGGTGTCGCTTCCTGTTGGGGGCTAGAGGACAAGAGACCAACACACCCATCCGATCAGCAGGACAGATGAGCACTAAAGGGTTTGAGGAATTTCTGCAGAAATGGCTGTCAAAACATATAGCTGACACACTTCTCCCATGGCATCTACTTACATTGAACTTGACGGTTGTCCCTGGCTGCTGTGTCGCAGTGAATCCTGAGGACCCAAAGAGGGACCCCGATGTGCCTCCGAAGGGGTTGGAGGTTGTGTTGGTCGTCCCAAAAAGCCCCCCACTGCTGCTGCTGGTGCCAAATGCTGCAGGACAGTTTCCCAGAAAAGCATGGAAACAGGAATCAGCAAAACTACAGCAAGAAGCATCTAAAGACCCAGCCAGTCTCAAGAGATCCACATAATTAAGGCCTTTTCACACCAAATTTTTTGTACAAATATGTGAAATGTTCAGATGCAAATCTGACGTGTCAAAAATTCACACCAATCAATGTAAAATAAACTTCTAAAAATGCTTAAACTTTACAAAGAGTTTCAGACAGTAGGCTACTTCAGGATAAGCAAAATAAATGCTAAGAAAATGGCAGCAATATCATCTATCACCACAGGAACAGAGAAAACTTCACTTTTTATTAGGATGACGATTGTATATAGATCTGTCTCGTTTTGCTTGACTTAAATAGCCACAGATTAATAAAATCCAAGAGGCATAGCGTAAAACCTTAAAAAATAAGGAAATCCAGCAAACAGGCAACAGCAGCAGCTGTAAACAGCTTAAAGGGGCAGGTCACACCAAATCTGAAAAACGATTCAGAAGTCCTTTAGAGACACATCTGGGTTGTTCTGCTGGGAGTTGCCTAGTTTTGTAGATATCGGACATAGAAATATCTGGCTTCTCTCAAACATAGTGGGACTAAATGGCATTCTTTCTATGGTGATGCATAATGTAATGTAGGAACTATTTTCTTCTACCGAACTCCACACACCAATTGTATCACTGTGCACATTGAAATTGCTGGTGCACGGGGCTTGCATCTTCTGCATACATGTTCTGCTCACTACAAAGTATGTGGCTTATGAGCAACCGGGTCATGATTTCTGGTAAGAGACATTGCTGTTAAATTGTTCAAAAGTATTTTTGGCGCTTTAACCACTACAGAAAGAATGCCATTCAGTCATATTATATTTGAGAGAACAACAACATTTCCACAGATGATATTTCCAAAACTAGGCATCTTCCAGCAGAACAATCTACATCAATAGATAGCACTAAAGCCCCTCTGACCTGCCCCTTCAACATGCCTCTTGTCATTAAATAAAACAGGCTAGTGGAGATCTGCAGCAATGTTTTCATTTAAAGACTAACATTAAGATACTGATTTTTCTTACCTTATTAAAATGTTTATGCCATCAAATTAAATAATACACACCAACATTGGATCGATTTGATCTTAAAGATCAATGGTATTGCCCATCAATAGAGGCTAGCGCTATAAACCAAATAAAAGGGTTCCGTCCTATTCAACAAACTGATCATGCATGTAAAAACTGACATCCTGTTGGTCTTTCATTTAACACATGCAAAAATTGCAGACATTGAGCGCTATCTGATTAAAAAACAAAAAGCCATATTATAATAGCGCAAATTTGCAAGATGTGACATAAAAGCCTTCAAAGAAATACATTTGCTCGATTCAGAATGATCCTTTTTTTTCCCCATGCAAAAAAATCCAACTGTCACCCACAGCTATAGAAATACGCGCACCAGGAGCATGCAAATTCTATACTGTAACATGGTGAGACTCAACTTTAATTAGAACCTTCCACTGAGTTTCATAGCTGTAAAATACAGGATACTCACTGCCAAAAGACGCTGGCTTGTTGGTTCCAAAAGCATTGCTCTGCTGCGAGAACAGGCCACCTCCTCCAGTATTCGTACTGCCAAACAGGCTGTTGGAAGTGCCACTGGCGGCACCGAACCCAAATCCGGTGCTGGTGGAGGACGTCACCGGCTGGCTGAATGTACTGGAACCGAAGAGCCCACCTGCGTACGACCAACAGGAAGATACGAGATGATCAGCTCCCTTCCCCAAGGCCACATGGCTGTCCCACGTGCCCAAGGCCACCCAGCATGCAACCACGACAGAATCTGCCCTTGTTCTCACTTTATGGCAAAAATCTGCAATTTGGAAACAGCGTCGGAGCCTTCTGTTCCAGTTCGAAAAGAAGGAATTAACTAATCTGGGAAAGATGGCCTGAGATTCTATACCCAGGACGTTTCCCTCCAATAACCACGAATGGGTTTCATATGATGGAAAATGAATGCAAGCTTTCCTGAGATGAAAATGCAAGTGGTGTCTGTTGGTACGGATTCCCATGCTTACCTCCTCTACCAGCCCCAGTGTAGACAGGCTGAGGATTTGCAGTCCCAACTTTTGAAAAAGTAAAGCATTACAAGTGTGGTTAGATACATTACCCTGAGGATAAACCACACCAGACGGAATACCCAAAATCCCCCATGTGGGATTAAATTTAGTGAGGCACATTGACAAATAGCAGGGAGGTTACTAGTGCAGATTGTGTGGGGACACCCTGCCATCACAAAAGGGCCGTGTTTTAAAGCTTCCTTCATGGCACAACTGTTCTTTTTGGATGCAGCTGTGGACTAGTGTTGTGTTTCAAACTGTAACAGTCATAGGACATCCCGACAGTTTCCTTGGCTAAAAAACATTTCACCAACTGGGGCTCCAACAGTAACAACCAATGACAAATGTCAGTTACATATGCAACTGTTGACTGTAGGTATGAGAAGGTAAGCTCATGGGATGGTTACAAGATTAGATAACTTCAGTGCGAAAGAGCAGAAGAGATCAAAAATGCACAAACCAAGTACAAAGCTGGGGGGGGGGGGAGACTGCAAGTGAAGCATGTGGCACCTTGCAGAGAAGAAATATCTGAATGCTTTACTCTTTTACCCCATAGCAACTATGGCATCAGCAGTTGGCGATCATCAGTGATCACAGCGCAAGAAGCAAGAGGCAAACCTGGCTTGTTTTGCGTGGCTCCAAAAAGTCCTCCGGTGTTATTGGTTGCACCAAACGCAGATGTTCCAAAACCACCTGTTGTACCAAACCCTGTACCTGCAATGCAAGTTTGACAGCAGGGGTCCCAAACATGAATACTGAACTTCCAGCATCCTGCCCAGTTTACGATATAGACAGCAAGGCTAGACCATCCAACTGACACAATACATACAGCTGTACAACTGGCCCAAATAACAGGCAGCCGTAAAACAGGTTCTTTGGGAAAACATAATCCAATCACGGAGACAGAACACTTACTTTGCTGGCCGAACGTGGACGTCGTCCCAAATCCTCCGGTTCCGCCCCCAAACGGAGCGCCAAACGACTTGTTGAACATCTTCAGTGGATATCAGGAACGCATACGTCTTTAATAGGAAAAAGTGGATAGATGAATTCACAACGAATAGGCGCCGACACTTCGCAAGACGGGAATTATCAGCACGTAAACACTATTGATAAACAGTAACCGGATTGCTCAATAAACGAAAACGCGGTGAAAAATAGGATGACCACAAACTATACTACATTTAACATATTTTACTTGGTCAAAGCCCAATCTCGAATGCACAGATGTGAGACGCCAGTTGCGTTTTAGACGTTGGATCCATAAACACATTTGGTTGATTAACTACATTAGCCTGCGAAGCGAGTACACGTAAACGCGTGACAGCTAAAACGTCCTCGACAGCTCCGAAAACGAAACTCATCACAAAGCAATCCCGTGAAGAACGCCTTTACTTATCGCATTAAAGAAAGCCAAACGTGGCATTTTGCGAGTTTTCTATATAACAGTATAAACAATACAAGTATCTAAAGGCGCCAGAAATTAAGGCGCGAGGCCTACCTGTGTCACATCAGACAGCAAAGCAAAAGAACGAGTCAAAGCACATAAACTCAAGCTTCGGAACCGTCGAAACCCTAAAACAAGAACCGCTGCGCCTGTCTGGGTCCAAGCTGTGTCTATCACACCAGAGCGAAACAAACCCAGTTCGAAAACAACCCTAATCAACCTACCGACTAGCTGAGCCCTCAGGCTAACCTTCCAAGCTAATGACGTGGTTAGGTTGGCACGCCGCTACAACGAGCTACAAACACTAGGAAAAACAAAACCAGCATCATCCTTCGGTATTTAAAAAATAGACCATTTTTAAAAGCATAACTTTAGGTAATATGTACATACGATTATATCGGAGGTAAAAGTGTGGAAATACAGTAGCTACTTAGCTGAAGAAATTAGCCGGGAAATTAACTCTGGTTGGTAGATGTAAAGTAACCGACCAACAAATACTCATGGTAACCATCTATCTAGTTAATGTAGCAAAGCTGCAAAAACTCCAATTAATACAGATCATTGTACGTACCGTTTAGAATTACTGGTCGTAAACGCGAATCAAACATACACGTTTTAAAAGCGTCTGAAGTAGCGTTAGCATTGCTAACAACATTAGCAAAGCACCCAGCAAAACGGTTCTCCATGCCGCGGAAACTCACCGTATTTAATCTTGCTGTGGTAGTTTAATGACGCCCTTCGATTGTTTCACGCACAGGCAGTCCGTAAGAATTAAGAAGGTAAATATCAGAGTTCAGAATCGAATGTCAAATATGGCCGTCAATATCCGCTTCTCGCCCGCGACCAAGCGAGGAGAGAAAACTGCGTAATTTGCTCAGCTAGGCCGGGCGACAAGTAAAGAAAAAACACTCGGAATTTACGTCGTGTACATACGTAGGTGGCGTAACGGCCGCCCGTGATTGGACGGCCAGCACGTCAATCAAACCAGCGGAAAAACAAGCTTCGACTGGGCCAAGCTCGTTACAACCTGTTAGTGACCGTGCCTTACGCACTAGTTCCGTCCATAGTCATCGACGACCGCGCAGTAAATGAGTCACAGAAAGTTATATAACATGTGTATGCAGAAAACGACATTCCTTGGGAAACAATCATACAGTATTACTGTCTCGGAACCGGATCTATGCTTTTAAAGAAAGTTTACATGTAGTATTTATAACCTGCATGTGGCATACTAAAAGCGTGATTCTCGTGCATCAGGTGTCTATCTGTAGTTGCTAAAATGTTTTAGTCCACTACAGTCATCAATTTGCATGCCTCGACATTGTACAGATGTATTTGGGGTTACCTTGGTCATCGTAAAGCAGGAGGCTACCTCGTGGAACTGGAAACTTATAAATTGCGCATTCCTGTTTTGAGGTGCTCCGATGATAAGTCATCCGAGGTTCAGGCTGTGCAATTAATGGTTATTATACTTGTTTTAAAATGGTCTTTTTTCAAAACTGGATGAGATATAAACTCAGATGCCATGTTCACCGATTTTGTGTATTGAAGAAAAATTATCCACTTTCAGATTCGGTTAACCTCTGATCAATAATGATATATTCATATGAGTAACATACGAGCTGTGGACAGGACCAAAATCTGTAGTTTTACCTAAATCCTTGTGAAGTACCCAGTGTTAAAATAATTTCACTCCATTTTTTTTGTTTAATATATACTACATAAATGGTTACTGCTTTGCCCAGATTTACGTTGCATTTGAAATCATTCTGCAGCGTTTCATTTTGGCCGCATGTCTCTTTAAATCTGGGACGGCCTTCGGTTATTTCCGGTTCTGTGATATCTGGATGGATACGTGTAAAGCGAACCTACAGCTGGGATCATCCTAATAATTCTGAATCCATGTTCTCCGCGCAGCTGTTTTTTGCTTAATAGAATACTGAGAAGGGCTATGATTGACTTCGATCTCGCTGAGGAGTGATTCCATGTGAAAGCTGTGGCTTTTCGTTGTCATTTCGGGATATCGCTGTCTTTTCTGCGCTCTCTTTACCGTTATGTTTGGGCAGTCTGAGCACGCTGGTCCAGTCCCCGCAGACCCGGTGCACTCCGGACTCGCGTTAGCGCTGCGCCAAAGCTGATCGCGCCGAAGCCGCCTCTCCGCTCTTCTTTCTACCAAACTACAGCCCAGCAGATCCCGCAGGTGACGCAACGCAGCCTACGTAGGAGCCCAAATTCCTCTCCGGTTTTGCGGATAATTAGGGTGGAAGGCGCCAAACGTTAGGCTCATTTACATCGGTGCCAACGATCGTAGCTACCCAGGCTGCAAGTAATGGATCGACAGTACTTCTATCTGTAGACCCTATATGCTTTAATTTCTTAAATATGTCTTCGTAACTAGCTACCCGTGTCCGTGTTGATCCTCTCTTCATTGTGCATCTTATTGTCGTTTAAAATGAATGTGCAGGTCCTTGATCGTCTCGTGTCGTACTGTCACTTGCAGGATGCTCCAGGGACCCTATGCCTCAGACCGAGACAAAGTCCTTATCCGGTTCCCTTTCCACTTGTTCGCCGTGGGCACAGTTTTCCTGGCACTCGGGGGCTTGATTTCCTGCGTTTTAATCTCCGTCTTTTATAATTATTCCGATGCCACTAACACCCACTGCAAGGTAAGGAACCACAGGGGATTGCTTTTTATATGGTGTGGTGGCTATTTACCTGGGGGGCTTTCAAGCTTCAGAAACTATTCATTTAAATAAATTTGGGATGCACCTGAGCTCATATCTCTCATTTTAGTCTAGTCAGAAAGGTTATACGTTTTATGTCTTGTTTGTAGATGGTATTTTCTCCTCTGCCCCCTCACCCTATATTCAGGTGCCAAACTACCTCCCCTCCATCAGCGCCTCCATCAGCCTGGCGCCAGAGCGCTACATTTGGCGCATCTGCATCGGCCTGCACTCCGCCCCTCGCATCCTGTTGGCGGTGGCCTACTTCAATCTGTACCGGATCCACTTCGCCAAGCGGTGTTTGGAGTGGTGCCTGGCTTTAGTGGCCCTGGCCTGCGTACTGGCCGAGAATCTGGGACTGCTGCTACTCACCTACGTGTCCTCCACTGAGACCTACAGTGAGTCGCCATGGTGACACTGGGTATGAGGGTGGTTACTGATTAGGGAGACAGATATGCGCCCTACAGTATACCGTATATTATTATAGTGAATACTGCATTATTTTAATATCCCAAATTGCATCTGAATGGTAATGAAATCACGAAGGGTCTCATTCCAGCTGATGCAGGAATAGCAGTGCAGTGTCCAGCCAGTGACCCCCCCCCCGTGTATCTCCAGGCGTGCCAACACCAGCCAGTAACGGGCAGCACCATGTGACTGTGTGAGATAGGGTTGTCACAATACTACAATTTCAAACTTGATACTAATACCTTGGAAAATGCTCGATACCATTTTCAATACCATGGGTACTATTTTTGTCTACTTGTTGATTGGCTCTGCTCAGCTGCAGTCTGAGACTTGAAAGGAGACGTAACACCTTTCAGAGACATAATTGTGTTATGCTGTTTAATTAACGCTGTCTGTTAATGTTAGATGAGCAGGACTAATAGTGTTTGCTGCCTAGCTCCCATGTTAACATTATCTTATTTATCATTTTTTTAATTAGCAATAACTACCTTAATGGTAACTTAATTAACAGATGGTTAATGAGGCTACCAGCTAGTTTGGTGATAAACGGCTAACGTTAACGTTAACATTTATGATAACTTTTAATGCTACATTGTTATTGAAACGGGATCTTTACTAACCTCTCGGTAATCCTCATAAAAAGCGGATTATCAGTCTATAAGATGCTTTGCCAAATTTGCCGTGCTGCTGGACTTCGTCGCCGCCACTTTGTAGCATTGTCTGCATAGAGGCCTATCGACATCCATAGCCTTTCCCTGGTCATTTGTCTCGTGTGCAAAATACTTTAAAATTGCATGTTTTTCATTGTCAACTAAAACAAATGCTGCTGCTGAAGGGACTTCAGCCAGTTCAGTGATGTGAAAATGTCGTGAAGGGCAACTTAGCGTGCATGTCTTTAGGTGCCAGTGGGAGGAGGGGCTATGAGCCTGCCTTTCTGCAGCGGTGTGTGAAGTTGTGCGTCAGCTGCAGGAGTCAAAGACTGCACTGTTGGTATCGACACTTGCGAATGAGTTTCTAATCCAATAGTATTTTTTTGTGTCGATTAGTATCTGAGTATCGACTTCTTTGACAACCCTAGTGTGAGATAGACCTATGTCCGGCCATCTTCTGGCTGTTTGTGGTGTTATCGATTAATGCGGGGCTTACAGTGCCAGAGCAGCAGGTATCTGACCACTATCCACCCCATATGTGCACCTGTCCTCTTCCAGATCTGCACCGGGATGGTTTCGTCATGTTCATCAGCTGCTCACTTGTCCACATGCTGATCACTTGCTGGCTCTGGAGGGTGATTGACCGTTATTCCCTCACCGCTGAGGTAAGTCCGCAGGACTTTCCCTTCCTCTTTGCCTGTGTTTGTGGCTAGTATTGTTTGCATCAGAGGTTCTTTTAAAATCGATTGAGAATACAGTGGTACCTCAGTTCTCGAACTCATTAGAACTCGAATTTCTTAAAAGTCGAACCAACCAGTTCGGAAAAAAAATACCTAGAGCTCGATCTGAATCTCAGAAGTCAAACCGTGAACGCCGGCCTAAGATAACTTGTACGCGGGGAAATGAGTCATGCGCCATGTCTCTCAGCCTGAACAAAGGGTAAAGCTTCAGTCTCAGCCTCGCATTCACTGTGATAGCATCGTGCATGTTTACACTAGCTGAATACATATATTTAGACAGTAAAAATACATTTAGACAATGATAGACAGTAACAGTAATTATTATTTAATAAAATACAAGATTAAAATAAAGATTTCTTATTAATTATTTTAATATTAATAATAAACCATTAATACGTTTAATTATAATAATATTGTTGTGCCCAGCGGGGACAGAACGGAGACAAAGGCGCAGACGTCAGGGTATCAGGGAATACGGGGTTTAATTACAGGTAAGGCAAGCAAAACGCAGACGGGCAATACAATGACTGGACTGGGGAAACAAACTGAAACGCGGACTAAATACAGAGGGCTAATGACAACAACCAAAAACAGCTGATCACACGGGGATTCCACACGGGGTTAACGAGGGGGCGTGGCACACGGAAGGAGTGGACGATCGGGGCAGGACACATTGTTTTTTTTAACTTTACACATTGTTTGGATACATTTAATTTCTTACTTTACAAATTACTGTTTTGATAAATGTGATTAGATGTGTTTAGTACAGTATATGCCCTTGTTGTATCTGGTTCATTTTGTGTTTAAATGCTAAAAAAACATATTTAGGTGTATTTTTTTCGGGCTGGGAAGCAATTAATTTGTTTTCCATTATTTCTTATGGGGAAAATTCGATCACAACTCGAACTTTTTAGGATTCAATTCGGAGTTCTGAATGGATTAAGTTCGAGTTCTGAGGTACCACTTTAATGCCATTTTTAGTGTGTGGTGTGGTCACGGTGAATCACTGCAGTATTTGAGTCTCCGCCATGGCTCCATGTGTGTGGAGTTTTTCCTGTTCTCCCTGTGTCGTTGTGGGGTTTCCTCCTGGTATTCTGGTTTCCAAAAGCATGCAAAGGTGAAGTGGAGTCACCAAATTGCCCGTGCGTGAGTGATTGGTGTGTGAGTGAATGGTATGTGAGTGTGCCCTGCAATAGATTGATGCCCCATCTTGGGTTAGTCCCTGCCTTGCGCCTGTGAATTACGGAATAGCCTTCAAATTAATGGATGAATGGACGTTTTGGATGTAATCCAGTGTTTTAGATGCAGTTTTCCCAAGTTCCAGATTCTCCAAAACCCAGATGGTAGTGAAAACTCTAAATAAGTTTTGTATAGAATCCTAAGGTTGTATTGTGTGTTTGGCCTATTACATATGAAAGACTTCTTACTGTTAGGGTTGCAAAGGGGTGGAAAATGTCCAGAAACTTTCCATGGGAAGTTAAGCTGGGGAAGTTTGTAATCATTGAACGCTGTGGAACTCTGTGTGAGCTGTCAGAGGTATGGCAAAAAAGCTGTATGAATAATACAATATAGAAAATGACTTATAAACAGTGCAGATGCTTATTTTGGGTGTTTTTACACACACATTATTACAAGAACTTGGTTACACAATGATATCACTGCTAGTGCTGTCAAGATGCCTTTTGTCCCCCAACTACATTTAAGTTCCCTGTTCTAGGCTAGCCTGCAATTTTCCAAATTTCCAGTTTATTCCTGTTAATTCCCATATGCCACGGAATTTTGCAACCCTACTTGGCATTCGCTAGGTCCAGTCTTTCGGTGTTGCTTCAAGCATAAATACTCAAGCTGAGTCGCCACTAGAGGGTAGTGTTTGTCCGCTCGTCATTGATTGCCCAAACTTCGCCACACCCATGACTACAAGACAGGAAAGCAAACCTGGTAATGAGCCATATGAATCGGCTCATTAATAAATGTCGGATATGATCTGTCTGTAATGATCTAGGTCACGTATGACCTCATTCTTTTGAGAGCTTTTCCCAGTGGTTTTGATCAGAGGCTTAAGCTGTATTTTTAGGTGGAGAAAAAAAACAAGTTCCTCTTAAGACTGAATATCTGTCATCTGCCCCTCTAGTTTCACTCCCCTGCACATGTGACTGTGTGTTAAACCATGATGATACTGTGTGAATTTAATGGTAGGAGCTCTTGTGAGATGTATGTGCTTGTATTTACTACCAGGGTGCGATGTTTTGTTATTTTTAAAAATAATCAATGTCAGTTGTGTAAGTGGATTTAAGCCACTAGGGCAACCGACTTCACTTTTGTATTTCTCAAATAAAGTGTCAGCCATTGACCAATCAGGTTTTAGCTTCTTTTTTTTCCTTTTTCTTTTTTGTCAATACAGAGGATGTTCTGCTGATAGGTGTTAAGTCATAGAGACAACTTTTGGCAACTTCCTGTGAGGCAGGGCTTCTCGCTGTATGGTACACATTCTTCTAGCGTACGTGAGAGAGTTTGAACATCTGCTCACTTCTGACTCTGAGTTTGATGCTTGTTCAGTCTTCATGAAATGTCTGCTTGTCCCGAGCTGATGAGGATTGGTCTAGCTTAGACGTTTGGGAATATTTATATACACATGTTAGTTTCTCAATATTCAGGTGCATCTTGCAGCATATGTATCTTCCTGTTTTTGTATGTATGTGTGTGTGTGTTTGTTTGTCAGTATGTGTGTACAGCCTTGTGTCGAGTTATGCCTGATCCAGTCACGTCCTATTGTGTTTACATAAGAGGTCCATAGTAAATAATATACACTAATGGAGAGATCCCTGAAAGTGGGTGTAAGAGGATGTTGGCAGGTATATCAGCAGAATGGGCAGCGCTGCCAGATGTTGATAGATGTTGACCCACTATCAGTGTTGGGGAAGTTACTCGCTAAAATAATCCATTCCAGACAGAGGTGGAAAGTTTAGGTCCAGAAAATACAAATCCAGATACACCCATATTGACTTGCATCTGGAGGGCCTGTTCCCAGTGGGTGGTCCCATGGGTTTTGAGTCACTTTGTGTGCTTGTGTTAGTTGCCCCATAACTGTGTCCTGGCTGCAGGCATCCGGCACTTGATTTGTGTTGTTTCACCATAAGGAGTTTGGCGCTACATCCGAGCAGCTCTCTCTAGCACAGTACGTCTCAACCTAGTCCATGGGGACCCTCGCAGACAGTCCACGTTTTTGCTCTCTCCCAGCACACCTGTACCAGGTATCTGGTGTTCTTGATTGGCTCGAAGCTGGGAGGGAACACAAATGTGGACTGGGGGGGTCCCAGAGGGCTGGTTTGAGAGACACGGCTCTAGCAAGTCGCTACATGGCTGCTGTATGGACAAGCTTCGTTGTCCACAAGTGGACAGGAGGATTGATCCCCGCAGTTTGTAAAGTGGCGTTTAGGAAATGTCGATGTCACGGAAGTGCTGGGCACAGCACCCCTGAGAGAGCCTCTCCGCATGCTTGGTGAGAGAGCATGGGTGGTGCAGGTACAGATTAAACTCTCACTCGCATGCACATGCATACGCAGCACACAAATGCAAATGTGAAACCACACGCGCATCCGTGTCCTGCCGCCACATTCATGGAGAACCTCGGAGACTGCGGACTCCAGGCGCCCCAGATTCGCAGCGCAGAGCTCACAGCGTTGCAACACTCACTCGCAGCACGTTTGGAAGCTGCAGCACGAGCCGGCGGGGGGGCGGGTGCTTCAGGCACGACTTCCTGTCTGTGTGAGCGAGGCTGCCGTTTTCTCGTTCACAGACCCTGCTTCTCTTTTCCCTTCTCTTTTCTTCGGCCTGTTCAAGTAGGGCAGGGTGGGGAACCTGATCCATGGAGATCCGGTGCGGGTTTTTGCAGTGGCCCCTTAGTCAGCCAATAACAGTGGGTCTCCAGGACCGAAGTTGAGAACTACTGCCTCGTTATTGGCTGATTTGAGAGGTCATCCCAAAAACCCACACCCACAGCGGCTCTCTATGGATCAGGTTCCTCACCCCTGAAGTAGGGCATGATCTGGATTATCTGACCCGGTGGAACTGTACTGTGTGGTTCTGTAGCTGTCTGGAAAACCGCCCATCCCTGAAATCACTTATTCAGTACAAGGGCATTGTGAGCCTATTCCTGGAAGCACGCGGCCCAAGATGTGCTGCACCCTGAAATGGATTCCAGTCTATCAGAAGTAATACGGCCTTACTCACTCGCACTATATAGCCATATGACTTCATGTAACCCAGTGGTTCTCAGTCCTGTTTCTGGTGCCCCCCTCTGCCAGAAAATTCCATTCCAACTCTACCTGAATCAGGCTAATAATCAATATGGTAGGTCTGATGGGGGACACCAGGAACAGGACTGAGAACCACGTGTTTTTAGCCTTTGGACGGAAACCTGTGTGATCACAGGGAGAACAAACTCCAGTCCTGCTGGTGTCTGGAGACTAAGCTGGGTTTTAAAGCACTTTGTTGGGGCCTCCAGGGTTTGACCTCCTGAGGTGAGGGGTCTGCACGTACAATCCAGCTGAGTTCGAGGTCCCTGCCAGTGGAGGGTCATTATCTGCTGACATTGCAGCTTTGATCCAGGCCTTTTCCTGATAGGTTCCTTTGTGTGGGAAGATGGCAACCTCTGTCAGTGAATGGTGTTTAAAAATAAACTCACCTTGAGGTCTTTGTGGCTTTTTTTGGCTCCAGACCAGATAATGTGGGAGTGGCTGTGGGTGCTGGGGGGGGGGCGGCCGAGGGGCTCCAGTGTTTCTCAGCGTCCTTGCATGTGAAGAAAAAAAAAACACTGCAGATCTGAGGTCATATAATCAGATATTTAGTATTTTTTTTAACTTATTGGCTGTAGAAGCATCACAGCAGAAGGAAGTGGTTGAAATTGGGAGGGGGCGGGGGGGGGTACGTGCAGCGTTCGGCTCATAAAACCAGTTGCAGAGATGCTGGAACATTGCTACATCAGTCATGCAATGCATGCTTGACAACTCTGACCATGTTTGCAACAGCTGTCTCCAGATGATGTGTGTGTGTGTGTGGGGGGGTGAATGGGGGCTTCCTCTGGTTACCCCCACATTGTGGGAGGGTTAGGAAGTTTGGGAGCAGGATTAAACATTTTGAGACACTCCAGGCTTACAGATTCTTGCCCCAGACTTGAGCCCATGTCCAGCTAAGAATAATCTCTGACCAATCGCATTATTACCTAATGTAGCCCTGTCGCAAGTTTAGCTTTCTGCATGCGGAGATCCTGCATCCCGCTGTGCCGTCGAGGTGAAAGCTTGCAGGTGCTGGTGGCACGTTTCGGTGGAACCTCTGACTCGGCCATTTGAGGCGAGCACATGCGGTGTTCTTAGAAACCCGAACGGGGAACGCGGCGAGCATCCTGCCAGGACAAGGTGTGTAAACGTGTATGAAAAGCGTCATCTTCTCAGGGCCCATTCTTAAGCAGCATATGTGGTGCACTTGCACTCATGCACATACATGCAAAACATGTGGTGTTATCTGCCAACTTTAACCCAGAGCCTCTAGTCTCAAACCAAAAGAAGTGCCAAAGTTGAGAGCCTGGCAACCACAAAAGCGTTCTTATACGTCAGAGGTTAAAGGCCACATACTGCCGATCTGCCGGTATAGCAGTTTATGCGAGGCTGTGCCGCTGATCTGGTGTAAGATCTGGGGCTGTGCTTCCAAGTTGACTGCACTGTGGTTTGGACCCCCCCCCCCCCCCCCTTCTGGTCGTTCATTTTGTATTTTGTTTTTTTTCTGCCCTCCTCAGGAAGGGACCTCGCGCTACTGGAAGCTCCGCCTCCTTCTGTCCAGCTTGATTGCCTGTGTCTGTGCAGCGTACTTCTACTGGCGACACAACAAATACTGCGAGCCGGGAGGTGAGGATGGATTGCCCCCCTTCCCCCCCCCCCATGTCTTAGCAGGAAAACACACAGATGCATAGACCCCCACTGCAGGCCGTCCACTTCCCACCCACCTCTCTGCCTGCTTCCTGCTGCCTCTCCATGCTCTATAAAAGTGCACGTTGCCATTCTCCTGTTAGCGCGAGCGTGTGAATCGATATGCATGCAGTCACCTAACTGCCCTCTGTTCTGTATGCTATGGCACATCTTCCAGATGGGTGTCACTTCCCAATTGAACTTCCTCTTCTTTTTTTTTGTTTTTTACATCTCTGGGAGGCAGGTCAGTTCCGTTGGTTTGACATGAGGCTCAACTGCTCTGGGAGGCTGGCAGCCACACTGGTGGTGGAAACCCTGTCAGACCCCAACCCTACGGTTTCCGCTTCCCCATAGCGAATACCAGAGGGGCCTCCCTATTCTGACCCCCCCCCCCAACCTTATTTTGTCTGGTTCCCTTTAAGCCTTGATCTGATGTTTGTGTGTACCCTTGCTGTCATTGCGGATAAACTCCTCTTTTGTTCCCCAGTATACACCTGGTTCGCCTTCTCCGAGTACATGATCGTGCTATTCAACATGGCCTTCCACACCACAGCCTACTGGGATTTCAGGGGCAAGGAGATGGTGATCGCCACTGTGCCGGAGGACAAGCGCTTCTGACAGGGGAACCGAGGAAGAGCAGGCAGCGGAGCCAACTCCTCCTCCTCCTCTTCCTCCTCACACTCCCCACAGAAAGGTGGCAGGTACCCTGATGGGTGGCCAGGGGAACAACTCTTCCACATTTTCCCTTGAGGAGGGACAGCCTTTTATCTGCTCCCAGCCGACGGGAGAGCAGGAGCGGCGCTTGGAGTGAGGTGGAGGTCCTCTGCATCATTTGGGTGGGAGGGGCCAGCTGTTGCCAGGAAACCAATGTCCTAGTTGGGAAGTGGGTGAGGGAAGCCTAATGCAACGAACCTTAGTCTCTGAGAGGGGCTTGTGGTCACCAACTGACAGGAATATGCCCCCGCTGTCAGTGTCCTTGTGTGCTTGCCCTGGTTCTACCCTTGGCCTTGTCGTTCCTGGAATTTCCTCTTTCCTGACAGGTTCCGGTTGCCATAGTAACAGAAGACTCCATGTCTGCGGATGGCTTCCTCTGCTGATGTGCTTTTATAACAGAGGCGTGCCTGCGTGCTGTCAGTCACTTTCTGGTCTCAGCCAACATTTCTGCTCATTAAAGACTGGCGCTGAATGAAAAAATGACACAATCGGCCTCCTTCAAATACAAACGTGCTTCTCACAAGAATATCAACTGGTGGACTTTCCAGAATCGAACACACCAGCAAGTTCGGGTGAAAATTTTAAAAATCATGACAAGTGTATAACTCGACTGAATAGAACACTGCACTGCCGCTTAGTTTTAGCACAATTGTGTCTTTATGTTTAGTGATTATTTATTTTGGTGTAATTCTGTGAAACTCAGGAAACATTTTATTAGTCTTTGAATTCAGTGACAATTTTAGACACCTTTTAAAAGGGAAGTTGGTTTCAGGGCCGCCTGTCTGCCGCGTCTAGCTGGTGCCCTCAGTATTAACATCAACTTTCTCTGCTGCCAACGTGCTCCGTGGACCAGGAGGATATCAGCTTCTGCTTCCGCATCACCTGCTCCAGTGTCACACGCTAACTGGTTGACGTCCTGCGATTGAGCTGTGCTGCCATACGATATTTCTGTGACATCGGGGGGACTTTCACAGCTCACGCCTAGCAGGAGCTGTTCTCTAATGTATATTGCCAGCTTGGGTGTTGTGATAGATGTATATTTCTCTTGCAAATAGGTACGCCTATTGGGGTAATGCATACTTTTATGTAAATGCAGCTGAGCAACTGTTCAAAATTGAAATGAAGGTTACGGGGTGGATGGTTGTACGTCCAGACCGCTTAGATACCCCTTAGCTATGTATATCTGAGGATACCCTGAATCTCACAAGTAGACTTTAAGTAAATGCTAAAGTCAGGCCGCTGGCCTGCAGAGTATAACTGTTTCCATGGCAACACTGGAATCTTTTACAAAGGGTGTTTCTCAATATTAAAAATGCAAAGATCGTACTTGTGGTCTTGGCAGGAGCAGTTTTGTTAACGTGCCTCACAAGAACAAACTTGGGTTGTAATGAATCATGGGATTGTTCTCATTTGGCGGGGGATATTTGGGGTGGGGCAAAAAGACATCCAGGGATTTTCACCATGCTCTGTACTTCTGTTCTCATTATTGGAACAGGTCTTCGGCAGTGGAAGATGACATGAATGGGGTACGTAAGAACACAAGTACGGTGAAGTATGCGTGTTGAGAGACACCCATAGTGTGTGAGGTGCCAGTCATGCGTAGTGGCTTAAATGTTTGATTAGAATTGGTGTACAACATACTATGAGCACCAGAGCTTGTCAGCGCAATGTAATCTGGCTCAGCGTAGCTTTTAGAGGACTTTTTATGGAAAGGTGCGCCTACTGGCTGATGGCAGCAGGCCT